CCAATGGGGAAGCTACTCTGATGTCCAGGTGAGAGATGAGAATGACTCACTCCAGTATCCTTGACAGCCTTCCATGGTTGCTTCCAGTTCTTGCTCTCCCATGGATCATCCTAATTTATTCTACACATTCACTTCGTGCCACCCATGTACCAAGCACTCGCACTCAGACCTCTGAGCACAGGTGGCAGAGCCAAGATCACGGCAGCTCTGTAAGGAACTACCAGTAGACGCTCTTGTCCACCTCTGCTAGTCCTCCCATTACTAGACAGACCATGGCAAAAAGTCTGTTGAAGTGTAGATTTACCAGCCCACTCCAAAAAGTCACATATTCTTGGGGGGTCCTAATTACAGTTAACGCAAGGGTCAGAAGTTTGTCCCAACAGCCTGGGCTGCCTTGTTCCTGTGACTTCGAAGAGCACAGGTTAATTAAGTAAGATCCTCTCCCTATAATGAGCTGAGCAAAATTATACAGGATAAATGCAGTGTTCCCCATGCTCCTCACTGGGGTTATTGTTCAATTATCCTTTTACTGCAAACTAAAAGGCTGTACATTAAAATACCTCTTTCCATGTTCTAAAATTGACTGTGGTGATGATTGCACAACTATTTAAATATATTAAAAACTACTGAATTGTATACTTTAAACTGGTGATTTGTATGGTATGTGAATGATATCTCAATAGAGCTGTTACCAAAACAAAAAGCAAAAACAAAAACACTACCTCTTCCTTAAAGATGAGTGAAATGACAGCAGAGATGAAAGTGCCAAAGTTACAGGATCGACTGTTCCTATAAATGTTGTATATTGACATATTTTACATTCATAGGCAAGCCAAAAAGACACTAAGATGGTGAGAAGAAATCAAACCTATAAAGGTTGTATGTTCCCCATAAACCACTCCATCTAAAAGCTTAGCCAAAGAGCAGTAATAACAATAATAACAATAATAATAAACACATAACATATAAACTCTCAAAAGACATGCCTTTTTTTTAAAAAAGTTGGATACAAAAGAGATAAAGGAAATACACCAGTCAAATTCTTCTTCCTGTACCTCCCACAGCTCACCCAGGAAAGGGGCAACCTGAGAGCACACCCCTCAAGCAGTCCTAGAACTTCCATGGTTCCAGGCATTGCTGCTCTGCAAGTGGCCCTCTCCCACTCTGCATATGGGGCAAAAAAGTGAAAGGGGTAAAGACTGCAAGCAGGAAGCAAGTGGCCCTTAAAATGCCATTTATAGTTTTTTAAAAAATCCACTGATTCCACTAAGCCTGCATTTATAATGATGGAGACAGCAAAGGAGGCTCCTTTGACCAGAAAGGTAATGAAGGTTGATGCTACTTAAAACAGTCAAGATCTCTGTTTAAAGGCAACTCTAGGCTAACATGAGAAGGAAAGAGAAAATGACTGTAGATCTTGGAATTTGCAAGAGCAAGGAAAGGACTGTGGGCATAGGTAGACATCTACCCCCTGACTTTTAGGACAACAATTTTCAAAATCTTGGCTATGAGACTGCTGTATTGCTAAAAACCTGGAGGAGATATTCAGGAAAGAAGAGTGTGCATAATGACAGAAATCCTCTGTAGATAAGAACAGAGTCTCTGAGAAAGAAAAAGGGCATTACTTAAGGAAATACTAATGTGCTTATATATAATGGGCACTCTCTGGAAACCTCAAATTTAAGCTTTAGGAGAAAGATAAATAAAACTAGGAATGAACCTTAAAAAGCATGTATGAAGACTGTAGTTACAAAGGCTCGAAATGGCATTGTTGGCTATGTTCAAAGCCAGAAGACAACAAGAAGAGGACAGAGTAACCGTTTGGGGGAAGGGAGTCTGTTCACATAAGAACAGAAGAACAAGGAAAAAGGAGCCCAACTCAAGATGGAAGTTGGCTTCCATCGTTCATAATAAAGAAAATGGTCTCCATATTGGTCAGGGCAAACAAAGAGCATGAAGATCGGGAAAGTAGGGGCTTTGCCACTTTCAAGGATTTCCAATTCTCCCGCTTAGATGACTCTCATCCCAGGGCACTGAGGGAACTGAGAAGTGCCTTTTTGACACCTTGTGGATGGAGGTGGCATTTTTGTGACCACAATAATAATCCCGCTATACATGTGTATACTGTGTTACACTGTATATACTGCTTTCTTGTTCAATATCTCCTCTGGGCTTCTCAACAATCTTGTGGGGTACATAAGGCTATTACTACTACCCTCATTATACACTGAAGCTCAGAATTTAAGTGACCTGCCCAAAGTTACATAGCTCACGGGGAACAGGACCAGATCTAGACCCAGCCATCTGACTCTGGCCCTGTGTACCTTTTCACTACATCCTCAGCAGAGCAAGCGATAAAATTCAAGCTATGTAATATTAACGACTTCAGTATCAAGGGCATACTGTAGCAAGATGAATACTGTTAACCAGCAAGTGCTAGCTAAATATCTATCCAACTGCCATAAGGATCTAGCTGTTCAATCCTCAAATCCCATTTAATCTTCAGACCGTCTCCAGGACGGAGCTACACATGAGGACCCAAGGCTCCTGGCACTAAGTAACTTGCTTGGGGTCACCAGTGGCTGGGGCAGCAAAGGTTTAAAAGTACTGGAATCTGTTCTAGCTCCAAACTCCATACTCTTTCCACTACGACTGGCTACTACTCTCAATGCTTATCAAGAATGACTCTAAGATATGGAAGGTATGGTTAAGCCAAATATAGCAGGCAGAAAACAGTCAATGGCTTTCCTCAGTCCTGAGAAGTTGATGTTCCAAATACATTTTCATAGCATGGCCTACGATCATACTAACAAAAGAAAAACAAATTCTCTCTTTTTTTCGTGTGTTGTCTTTGTGAGGAAGATTGGCCCTGAGCTAACATTTGTTGCCAATCTTCCTCTTTTTGCTTGAGGAAGATTGTTGCTGAGCTAACATCTGTGCCAATCTTCCTCTACTTTGTATGTGGGACGCCACCACAGCATGGCTTGACAAGTGGTGCGAGGTCCATGCCCAGGATCCGAACCTGCAAATCCTGGGCCACCAAAGCAGAGTGTGCAAACTTAACCACTATGCCACCAGCTGGCCCCAAATTCTCTCTTTTTTACCTAGTTCTAAGTCTTATGGGAAGAAATACTTAGGGCCTGACCTAGCAGAGGCGGGTGTAGGGATAGGCAACAAAACAAATAGCATCTAAATGTAAAATGATTCTTTAAGGGGCTCTGAGATCATCATAACCCCTGGGGCAAGTGTACTTGCCTCTATTTAGGAATAGGCCAGGAGGTTGTTAGGGTGGGGGCAAAGGGAAGACAAGCATGGGGAAACGGAACCTTCTTTTATCATCTTTAGGACCTACCTCCTGTACAGTCACTAGTTGTGGCTTCAGAGGGGACAAAGAAAGCTACCTCCATACAGATGAGAACCTAAGGCTATTCAGGTTAAGTTTATTGCTTGGGGTCACCAGTGATGGTGCAATAGCAGTCTAAATGTAATGGAATTTGGTGTTGCAGACTCACAAATGTATGGGCACGAGCAAGTCCACTAACACCAGCAATAGCAGTTAAGAGAACCCTCCAAGTAGAACCATTTGTCAATTCAACAAAGGTTTATTGAGCATCTACTACTGTATCTATACATCAAGCAATGGGTAAGCACTGGGAATGAAGCAGAGAATGAGACAGATACCATGTCTATCCTTGTGGAGCTTATAGTCTGTAGGGGGATTATTGTTACAAAAGGAGAAGCTCAGGATGCTGTGGGTGCTTGAAAACTAGGAATGGGGTTGAATCTTTATCATCCCTCTGATCTCCATTAATTCAAAGAGTATTTGAAAACTCTGAAAAAGAATTATTTTAATTAATAAACAAACCACCACTACTTACTTTTAAGGAGCCCAGTGATGTAGCAAATAGATTAAGTACCGACTTTTATAATTTGATCAGATACATATCTTAATGAAAATATAATCTCGCTGAATATAAAAAATTCATCACCAATTGAAACTTTCACCTCCTAAGAAACTTAAGTCTGCTGCACAAAATTAGTCAAAGTCAACCAAACAGAGTATAGGTGAAACTTCATAATAGAACATATTTATTACTCTACTTATTGCAGTCCAGTGTATGCCGCCCCAGGAACATCCTTTGCTGGAAGCATTAATAGTCACTGTACAATTACACAGGGAGACGCTCAAGACTCAATGCTATTCTCCTACTTGTGCTTTTAATCTATTAATATAGGTCTCAGTTTAGTTCCTATCACCTTCTGTTCCCTCAAGCTTCCAAATAGTGGCAAAGCTGACATTTAAACGTATGTCTGTCTACAAAACCTACTGAGCACACCAACTCCCTACAACTGTACCTTGTGTCCCCTTCTTTAGATCAGAGGTAGCAAATTTGAACACCTCTAGTTGCCAGGCAGGTAACACCAATGAGTGAAGAGGCAGGTAACGTATAGGCATATATGGTATGAGCAGTAGAACTACAGGGAGTGGGAGAGAGGACCAGAGGGGACAGTGGATACTTGGCTCTAATGATTGCTACCGTGTGTGATCTTGCAATTTTAAGAGAAACCAGAACTTCAAAACTTTGTGTATACTGCTGAACATTAACATCAAATGTTAGTCCAAGTTTGTTTGTTTCAAGAGCACCCCATGGGTCAAACAGGTCACCAGCTCTCAACTTCATTAAGTCACATTCTCAACCTTCGTCACTTTTTCAACCTTGCACTTGTTGGCATCATCTTTTGAACAGCACTGGTTTGGTATGCTAAATTCTGCAGGGTTATTTTCATAAGTGTAACATCACCCTGGGGATGGGTGAGGCAGAAAGGTTCATTAACGCCTTAAATACCAAGGGAGCTTTGCTTTTCAGGCAACCTAGATGGACTCATGGACTAATGCTATGTAAGGTAGAGCTGCTCACTTATGATCACAAGGTGCTTTTCTCCCACAGAACAAACTTCATTTCTTTCCCAAAGCTATTATCCCCTGGGTAGTTGCTTACCCGTTTGTCAATGTCATTGTGTTGGAGCTGCACAAAGCGAGCACTGATAGCTGCAATGTAACTCTGCTGATTGGAGAACGCCACGCGGCCAGCACCTTTGGGGTACTTCAGCTCTGGGTCCGTATCAATGCCAGCATAGCAGACACCACCATACAAACGGTCCATGATCATTGCCAGTTCAACTGCAAGAAAATAAACACGATTTTGTATAAACGTTTAGAAGGTACTCTTGCCCAGAAGGAAGAACTATTTAAGGATCATGCAGTGTAATCAAGAAAAGGAAAATCCACATTAAGTATCATGAAGAGTATCCACACCAGTCTTACAACTCAAGTAGGGGAGCTCCTCACAGGATATTTAAAAATAAAATTTTTTAAAAAATACAAATTTATACACACACGAATTTACATAATCAAAACTTCAGCAACAGTATAAAAGGAAAGATCTATCAATAATCCTCCTGTTCTAATTTCTAACTGCTTGGTCCACTGGAGTGGGCCCCAGGTAGGCAAAGCATCTCACAATACCTAACAAGTTAATAAGAAACAGCCCTATTTACTGACCTCTAAGACTGAAAGCAATTATGAAAGTCACACTGTTATATTAAGACTAAGCTATAGAAAAAATTAACTCTTCATTTTAACTAGAGGCAATATGTCGACAGTCTTAAAGAAAATCTCTACAATTAAAAACAATAAAGATTTTTAGAGTATATTCTATCCCAACTGAGAAATCTCCACACTAATCTCTCACACTGAGTTCTAAATACTACTACTAGTATGACAATAGCAGCAATGAACATTTATTGAGCATTTACAACGTGCCAGGAAATACTAAGCTGCTACATAGGCAGTAAAAACATACCCATCCTGCACCCTGCTATAAATCCAGAGATCTAGTCTGCACTCCTTGCCACATTTCTTCTAAATATTCCTTTATAGTGGTATATTTAAAAACACGTACAGAAGGCATTGGAAATTGGACCATTCCGAAAGTCTAATATTCTAAAATTATCCTCACCATAAAGGTACCATGGAGAGACATGTAGCAGTTACTTACCTGGATCCAAACTGCCTGAAGGTAATTGTTTACTCGATACTGGATGGCATCTCCTCCAGGTATGACCATTCCTTTCTGGTCACTTACATGGTTTAAGTCCAAAAGACTTAGCCCTACCTCTAGGGAACAACCCAAGAACCTGCTTCCCTCAAACACCTACATACGGTATATGGAAAGGAAAAGACAAGGAAGATAAATGATGACCTGGGCCACAGTCAGTGCCAAAGACCATCACAGAGTAGAGCTCCACAGGAATCAGTATCTGGGGAGAAGAGAAGCAGCACAACCTGGGGGGAAGAGGAAGAACTTTGCAGCAGATACAAGGGCTGAAGGGTTGAACTGTAATAAGAACTCCACTAGATTTCTACAAAGAGAATGAAAGCCAAGTATTATTGGTTCCTGTAATATGAAGCTGGTGAGACAATAAGAAAAGCTATGTCACCATGGCAGAAAGGCTGTCTTTCTACTTAATGATTTCTCTCCATACTAGACTGCTTAATATTGTTTTCTAAGTGCCTATTCTTAATAGGAAGAATGACCTGCAACCAACAGGTAATTTTTAGAAAGTAAGAAAATAAGCCAGAAATAACTAAGTCCCAAAATAAGTACTATTAAAGATAGAACAGCAGGGGCCAGCCCGGTGGCACAGTGGTTAAGTGCACACATTGCACTTTGGCCGCCCAGAGTTCACCGGTCCTGATCCAGGGTGCAGACATGGCACGGCTTGGCAAGCCATTGCTGTGGTAGGCATCCCCCATATAAGTAGAGGAAGATGGGCATGGATGTTAGCTCAGGGCCAGTCTTCCTCAGCAAAAAGAGGAGGATTGGCAGCAGACGTTAGCTCAGGGCTGAGCTTCCTCAAAAAAAAAAAAAAAAAAAAAGATAGAACAGCAGAAAGCCATCCCAATGATCCCATTATGATCAGAATTACTGAGTCATATCAGCCAAGGGAACATTGCTGATTAGAGCCCAACTGGACCATGACTGCAGTCTTGGGGCAGGATCCAGGCATCACATTCATCCGAACAATGCAATAAGAATCGTGCACGTACCCTGAATATCAGAGTTCAGTGGGTCCTTATACTTCATCCCAACAACCTCTGATGACTTGAGGACCTCCTCATGTGGCTAATGTTATTCCAGTAACAGAGACCAAGAAGCTGAAGGTAGCATTAATTAACTGCAGTCATTAATGAATTTCCCTTATTGGTCAAATGGGCTTCGTAAAATAAGTAACCACATGGCCTAGAAATTAAACACTAATTTTCCAAAGACCTGGCTTCCTCTGGAATAGAATAGGAGAGTAAACACTCCCTCAGCCTGGTGAACGGCCAGGAGAAGAATGCTGTGCTGGCAAGGCACTGAATGGCACTTGTTTGCCTTCCTTAGGAAGGACGCAAGAAAGTGATTTAGAAAGAAGGTATACCAGCTGTAAGCTTGAAGCTCCAGCTGAGGAAGACAGTTACTGTAACCACAGGTTCTTCTATAGCAGAGTGATCTCCAAAGGAATCCTAAGGATCTTCAGATGCTAAAGAAGGCGTCTTCCAAAAGCACAACATTCCATTACTCCGTGAATCTAGCTGCTGGAAAATCATCTTCATGTGCCAAAGATTAGGTCATGACTGATGTTGCTGGCAGTCAAGTACTTTTGATAGGAAGCAGAAACTCTCACTCACTTATGCTTTATGAAAACTAATTACAAATAAATCATTTCCACTTATAAGCTTATATACAGTCATTTTCTTGGCCACCAAAAAGTCTGCAGACATTTGAGTCAATAAAGTCTCACTCAAGTAAAAGGCAATTTGCTGAGAAGCTAGAAGAAACCAAGGCGACTAAAGAGTTTTTTGGGGGGAAGAGTATGAAGGTTTCCCATCTCTCTTTCTATTCGAATCTATACTTTAACTACAGAAGGTCTAATACTGTGATCATCCTTGAAGAAAAGTAAATAATGGTCCAACAACTGCTGTTTGCATTTGGTCCTTTACTCAATCAGCACGTCTTCACTAAAAGTGTACTTCCTGCAGGCTAAACATGCTGGGCTCAAACACCAGAGGGATGTCATTTCAGTACTAAATAGAGTTCCTACTTACTGAGAAAAGTGACTACCTGGTAAAAGTAGCATTAAAGAAAGGTCTAACTTAATTCATCCACTACGTAGGTGACTAACAGAAACACAGAGCAAGACTTCAAGTCCTATAAATTTCCAATCTGAAAAAATTTTTTGATATAGAAGATACAAATTCACCTACAGATGTTAGAATGTACAACTACTTTTAGAGGCTAGGTTTTAAAGGATTTAGAGTGACATTCATTAGTTAATATAGGGAAGTTCCATATAAATTCCCTTCTTCTGATGGGGGGAAGCTGAGCCAAGAAGAGGGCTACCATTTTCACTTCTTAGGAGGAGAGAAAAAAGAAGAAAGATCGCAAGGATCTGAAGAAGTCAACTAAAACCTTCACGGGTTTATGTATACCTTGTGATTTCAACCCTGCTCATGAAATGTGAGCCCTTGATCAAGGATGTGTCTTATCCGGAAAATGTAGTCAAAACACGTACTGAGCTAATGACAGTGAATCCTCATTCTAAACCGTCCTCTGTAGAGGGCAGGAACAGTGTAGCTCCCACATTCTTAACATTTAACCTAAGGAAGATAAGACTACCAGAGCAAGACATACAGGTGGAGCCTGGAATTCAGACAGATGGAGGTGACAGCAGGCATAGACAGAGTCTATGAAGAAGTCAAGAGTCTCCAAACTACTTTTTATTTTTTCCTTCCTATGCAGACAGTGTTCACAGGGTCTGTCTGGTCACCACAGGGGTGGAAAATTAGCAGGTCTGGTAGCTTTATCCAAGGGCATTCTGTATTTTAGATAAGACATTCTGTGCTCCTAAGACAACTCAAGACATCTCATGAACAACAGTTTCAGGGTAACAGAAACATTACTATGAGTCTAACCCAAATACTGGCTCTTGTGATGAGCTTCACTGTGCCATAGACTAGAGAAGGAAACAAGAATTTGCAGTTGTGTGCAGCACATACCAAGAATTCTTTTGGGTTGTGGTGACTATGCCTCTGAAGTTGACTCTGAACCCCAATTATGGTTTGTTAGATTTGCTCCTGATTCTTCAGAGATCTGAAAGGGACTTTAGCTCACCAGAGAGGAAATTATGATGACTCCCTCATCCTGCCCCACCTCAGGGTCCTGTTCCTATCATTTAATTAGATGTTAAAGCCAGCCATAAGGCAATGTCTAAGTCTGAGATACTATGAAAATCAAATAGGGCAGAGCAGGAATGAGGATTCCCAAGGGAAATATCAACACATTCATCTTTCCAGATCCTAAACTGTGAAAGTAAAAGCCACATTTCTTCTCTTTGGAAATAAGACCAAAGCAGAAAGGAAAGAGGCACAGGCACCTCAGGATGATGAAGAGGTCTGGACTTCTGAAAGAAAGTAAGATTCAACTTGAAGGTGGACTTTCCAGATTTACCACGGTTGTTGAATTGGTTCACAAGGGCAGTTCATACATCTTCAGCGGAAGAAATGTGTTCATAAGCTTCTACTCTGCATCAGATGTTGGGAGATTAAGAATGTTTTCAAATAAATGGTATGAACAATCAGCTAAGTCAGAGAGATGGAATGTTTAACTTGATTAAATTGGACTGGTACCACGTTGACTGTTACTGCTGTTACTGAGACAACCTCTCAGATCTCAGCTTGACAAAGCGGCTTCCTGCTGTGCAAAGAGCCCCAATAGGGAAGTCTGGAGATCTGAGTTTGAATCTTGGCTTTTTTACTTATCGTGGTTTTGGCCAATCACCCCCTTTGAACTCTGCTTCCTTATCTCTAAAATGGAAAGTCTACCACTTACAACCTCACAGGATTATCATGAGGATTAAACATACATGAAAGGCTCTGAGCATACTGCTGAGCACAGAGTGGTACTCAAACGTTTAGTTTTGTCCAGGGGTTGTTTTTCCCTCTACTCATAAATCTTTGCTTAACATTAACTTGTCCTCGTTTCTGTTCCAGAAGTACCAATTCATCCCAAGTCTTTCTTTGGTTTTATGCTAATGCTACTCATCTGCCACTGATAAGGCAAAGTTTGACATCAACTGTGGGCAACAGTTTGCTTTTTTGGGGGAGGGAGAACACAAATACATACTAACATTAGAAAATTCTTAACCCTAAGGGTAAAGCAGTTAATCAAGTCAGTATGCCAAATCTGGAGTTCATCTGGAACAACTCCTGCTGAACTTGGGACTTGGTGGAAAAAAAGGCTTCTACTGCTGAAAAACTTGATATAAAATGATTTCTGCCTGCTACCACTTCACAGAACAGAAAGAGGATATGGTTACAATACTCCTATTTTCTCAATCACAAATGAGGATTCCTAACACATATGAACTACCAGAATGTTTATACAGAAGGTCTGAAATAAACGCACTTAGACAAATTTAGGATGTATGTTCTCTAGATGGATGCTATTTATCACTGAGTATTTACCTCAAAGGTTTTTTTTTCCTCCACAGAAAAGCCATCCTTACAACAGTCAGAAGGGAAAAAAGGGCAAAGAAAGAAATTTCAGGATCCATCACAGAAAATTAGTAGGGGAGAAAAAGACAGGAAAAAGTTATCAAAGGAATAGTTAGGAGAGACAGGAGACCCAAAGATGATGAGTAAATAGTAGGCTCCAGAAACTCAGATGAGCAATCTCTCAAGATTGATCTGTTCTGCAGGACCTGGTCAGATAGACTGTCAGAAGGAAGTCATGAAGTAGAAGAACTCACATGCCTCTAATTAGAGAGGGTCAAGCCTGATCAACGTTGGAAGTGGATCAGTCCCAAAGCTTGATCCCTGAAGCAGTCCTTAAATCAGATGTCTCAGCCGGGAAGCTGGAGACAGGGAATACTCAATGTTTATAAACTGGAGGAGAGAACAGGGAGCAGAAGCTTCATTCTCCATTTTTTCCTGGTGGCCTCCTCATAACCCCCAAGCCTGGCACTTATTTCCTCTCAGAGCAAAGAGATGCATTCTGGAGAGGTCCTAATGCTATAAGGATAGGCAACAGGGCTACTTCCGTACTGAGATTCAAGAGGACACGTTGACTACATTACTTGAAATGAAGAGTGGCAACATGATGTTGCACTTCCAGGTGGTAGCAGGTGGAGAATCAGACAGACTACCCCTTTCCCTGTACTGATTCTCTGAAGAATATGTAAACTTTAGCCACATGGTGGCATGGTGAGTCTACCTATAGTCTTTCCTAGCATGTGGGTGGGAAGAGCTGGGACTGGAAGAAAAACAAGACCTGGGAAAAATTAGGAGACTTCAGGCAAACTGTCCTTGCCTTGCCACCGTCATTGACTGCAGTGATAGAAGAAGGGAGGGACAAGAGATAGTAGAAATGTGTATTATTTGACCTAGAGAAACCAAGAATCAGGCAATCTAACTTTGGGTAAATTCATCTAGATTTCCCACTGATTATTTTTCCATTTTCAGATTAATTTTTCCAGGCCTGTGATTTTTTTCCAACCTGAATTATAAAAAGGAAGGCTGGTCAAATGACCAGAAGGAGCAAGCTAAGCTCATCAGGACAATACCACTTAAAACACTTCTCTTTAAAAGTGTTTGTATATTTCCATTTGGTGGGATAAGACTATACTTAGAATAACTTATCAGTGATAATGGTCCCTGTCTTACAATGGGGAAATATCAAACATAAAAAGTCTCACAAGATCCAAAGGAATAACTCTTGAGTGATAACATTTTAGTCACTGTTAACATGTCAAAGAACCATTTTTGGCTCAGGATAAGGTGAAAATCAATCTGGATACCCAGAATCTCACCTGTTGAGTACCATCACCCATATCTAGCTCAGGATCACTCTGTACATAGCGTCTGAAATAGTTTTAAGAATTTCCACAATTCCATAACTACAGCACCCCCTGGAAATAATAAAAAATGCCCTGAAGTATTTAAAAACCAAATTTGAGAATCATTATGTCAAAGAATATAGTTTAGCATCCAATTAATTCTGAGTTAGCATTCTAATACATTTCTTATTTTCTTCTGTTCTGAAATCTTTGACTTTCTGTAGATGATGATCTGTTTAATACAACAGGGGGATGTTCTTTCAGTTTAGCACGATGCGGACTTGCTCAGTGCCAGTAACATAGTGGATGCTCAATAAATGTTTATTGTTCAAGTGAACCACGCTATATTCAATTTAAGATTGTATAGGAAAGTCAAAATGAATTCCTTTAAAAATAGTCTTCTATTCCAGGGTAGACATCAGTCCACAAATCTCTGTGTGTTCCAAAGAAACTCAATTCTACACAACTGGATAAAAGCTGCAGACATTAACTCTTTTTTCGTCTAGATTACATGGCCTCCAATATGAAAGTCTTGCATAGATAGTAAAATTCTAAGATGCTATATAGATTGTTTAGCCATCTAGAAACTAGCTACACTTATGAGAGGTGTTGGCATAGGGGAACATTTCCATTAGACCAAGTGACTGTAGCTTACTATCCACATAATGGCAAAAACAAAACAATTTTAAAACAAACAATTTTAGCTTAACTTTCAAAAAAAAAAAAAGAACTTTGAGACTTATAAAAGGTATACTATCTGGGAAGGGAACATAAAATCCCATTTCTGACTACGTAACTAAATATAATTCTTGTCTAATCCTAGAATTTGCAGCATCTTATAGACATAGAATGTTAAAGAAAAAAACATAATTTAGCGTCTTGGGTTTTCTGTCCTGCAGTGTCAGTGTGATCATAGACCAAGTGTGAAAAATGGATCTTCATAGGATTTATAGAGGGAAAATGATACACTGGCCTTTACTTATCCTTTAAATCACTTAAATGGGAAGAATAAAGAGAGAAAAATAAAAAGGGAATTTAGTTTGTAAACTATTGTGTCTGTGACTTAAAAATAGACATAAGAGGTTTAACACCAGTTCTGTTATAACTGTGGGGCTTTTTCTTTCAGAATTTTTTTTTTCAGATTCCCATCTAGGAAAAAGGAGAAGGGCTAGAATATTAAAACTAATTTGTGCATGTAGTTACTTGCAAAAAAGAATAGCTAGAATACTCACAATGAATGCTCATTTTTGTAGAATATATATGCAGTTAAAAGAATATCAAAGGAGGTTTTCTCCCTCTCCGCTCATTAATATAACACCAGTTAGAAAAAGTCAGGAATATTCCACAATGCCCCCATTACAGTTTTTTTTTTAAAGCACAAGCAGTTTAGAAACAAAGGGCTGCATTTGCCCTCATCTCATAATGCTGTTCACGTTTGAGTTAGCCCTTCCTAGACTTTATTCTCTGACAGCAGATAAAGGGGAGGCATCTCTGTGCTTGGCTTGCTTTCTTTCGGCACAGTTTTCCATTAGAATGAGAATAAGACCCAAAGATATTTGACTTTCCGAAATACTGTAAAATTACAAACTCCACAGTCATAATTAATAATGTTTTAAAGTCTTTCAAAATGGAATTATGAATATATCTTTACATAGGTCTAAAGTTGTCTTTTAGGAGTAGATCGGAGAGTTGAAATTTGAATAAATATGTTAGAAATGTTGACAAACATTCCGAATTAAAAGGTCATAAAAGTCATAAAGCCAAATAGCTATAGGTAAATTTTATAATACTGTTTTTACAATTTGATTTTAATGATCTCTGCTTTTTCTTTTATTTTTAGGTAGAACTAAGTCTTCTTGCTTACAAATAACACAGAGATAACATTGCACTTTCACAACTACAGTGGCAACAATACCCTCATTTTTTCATCTTGCTTCTAAAAAATAAACTCAATTATTTTAAGCACTTAAAAAATTTAGTTCTTACAAATAATTTTATCATATTCCACTGGCAATAACACTGATCCACAACTGATTAGATTTGTGTTTGGATTTAAATATTGAGGTCATCAGCTCAGCATCACTTCAAACACGCCAGTCAATTATGATTCTGCCCAATCCTAGCAGGTACAATTATTTCCTCATTGGAAAGAAACTTGAAAAAAAAACAGGGAAACTTTTAAAAAGTCATCATAAAAATGCTCAAATACATAACTTATTCTTCAAAGTGCATAAGAAAAAATAGGAATCTGCTTCACTTGGGAAGAGTTCAGTTGGATTCCCAGGGACACAATTTCCAGCAGTGGTTTGGATGGTCACTGAGTCGGCACACAGCTGCACTGGACAGATTTCTGATTGGGTGACTTCTTTTTCTGTCATACATAACAATGCTAACAGGCATAAGAACGCACACTGCCAAATGTATCACTATTATTTTTAAAATATGTGGTTGAATAAGCACTAAATAGAATTCATCCTTTTGAAATAACAGTTTAATGAAATTCACTCTTGCACCATAAGAAAATAGAGCATTTGGGGAGAAAACATTTAATCTTGAAAGAGTCAGCTCAGTGAAACTGACATGACAGCCTTCCTTTTGGAGATTATGTATAGCTGACCAGAAACCTAGAAAATATTGAAGACTAAATACATTGGGGATTTTGTTGTTGTTGGTTTTGTTGTTGTGGTGTTACTATTTCCACTCACCAGCTCGAAGGGGTCGTGGAACTCCCCCAACAAAGATAGTTTTTCTGGGGTCCAAAGGCTGAGAACCATCCATTACAAAGTCACTGTCACTTAGGTTCCATGGTCGAATTTGCACCTGAAAAAAAGTCGTTTACTTGGTCCTTACTTCATTTCCATCAACCCCAAATGAGAATAAGGTGACTAAAGACAAACCCACTGATTTGTGCATTTTACAACATATACAACCCAAAGAAAATCCAGTTACAGTTAACGTAATCTGCATTAAGTGCCTTTCAACAGAACTCTTGGGGAACCTACTCACAGGTACTGTACTCAACACACTAGACATATACCATAAAACCTTCAGAAACCGTCTGTGGTTTAAAAAAAGGCAGTCTTTTAGAGACAGTTTCTGAGTTTTGAATCAGATCCATTTTAACACATGATAGAGTGTTTATAACCTGTCACAGAGCAGCCCTTAGCTTTTTAGGAGCTCACCTAAAGGGAGGGAAGAGGAACATTAGGAATATTTTCTAAAAATTATCTATATGTGTGGCTTTTAAATTCTTATCATCCCCCTAAAATTAAAACATTTATCTTTCAGTAATATGATTTAACATAGATTAACATTCATCAAGTTAGCACAGAATTACCAGCAATATCAAATACTGAAGCACACAGTTATCTACTTTTGATTTATCTGATTTTCCTCAGGTCTGGTTAAATAAAGGCAAGCCTAGAAATTGAAGTAAATTTTATAAGAGTAGAAAAAGAAATCTTTATGACATATTTCTTTCTGTTTAGTAATATCTCTTCACTGGGACTCTGACTTCCTGCCCATAATTTGTACTGTTTCATCATATAACAAAAAATAAGGTATTTCAACAGAATCTTAACCTTAAAACATATTCCTTTCAAACCATAACTGAATTATCAAAGAATTGTTTAAAACAAAACAAACCAAAACCACAAAAAACTCTCTCATACTGAAAGGCAAGTTTCAACACTGCCTGAAAACCAACCAGCCACTCAGGTACCACGTGCTCTGGGAAGTGGGCTAGGAGTAGAATCAGATAAACCTGTGTCAGTCGTTAAGAAACATGCCTCTCCTTTCCCCTCACTGATTAGTATAGGAAACAAAACAGCTGAGTTGTCATTTCCTTAGTATCAACAAAATTCTTCATTTTCCCCATTGCTCAACCGGCAATACTTAACGCAAGGAAACACATAAATAAGATAATTTCTTATGTGGCTTGGCTTATATCCGGGAGGACTCTCATTTGAAAGGTAGTAAATCTGTCAATTACACTTTCTTTTCTTTTTTTTTCTTTGTCTCCCCAAATCCCCCCAGCATATAGTCGTGTATTTTTCAGTTGTAGGTCCTTCTAGTTGTGGCATGTTACACTTTCAAAACACCTTGAATCAACTCTAAAACTGGCATTGCTCAGTTAAACTTAAGATCTGTTTGCAATTCTGTTAACATTCAGGCATTTGCTCCATCTTTATCGTGTGGGAAAAAAAACCCAGTTCTTTCCTTGTAAAATTTGGTCTGTTTGACTAAATTATCATTCCCTTGACATTTACGACAAAGACAGATTCACTAATACCATAAAACACCACTTTTAAATGCCTTCATGAGGACCCATTATTAATTTTTAATTAAAACACAATTTCCCGACACTGTAAGAACAAGGATTCTAATGTCACCAATAAAAAAAAAAAGTAGGATGTATCTTTTTCTACACAGAATCCTCTCTTCTTCTAGTCTCATCCCTAATAAGGCAGTTAAGGCAGCTTCAGGACCTGGTAAGGTAATTCCAATAACTTTACGATAATTGAGTTTGATCATAGATAACTATTTCACAAATGAAAACAATTCCTGTGTAGTATCCCTAGTGTTCTGCTTTCATTTAATCAAGAAGTACAGAAAATGCAGCCTTCTATAACAGCTGGAGGTTCCTGCTGCTCAAAGCAATCTGCAGAGGATCTCCAAACCTTCCTGCTGAGAGCTTTCATTACTGCTGCTTCTCCTCCCCAGCCCTCCCTCATTTCATTACGTCATACACAACCCATTCCCTTACCCTATTCTTGGCATTACAGACTACATAAAAATACAGGAAGAGGACTCAGGAGACAGTAATGATTAACCCTATTTCCAAAAGTCACATTTCCCAGCTGCCACCAGAAGACAGCTCCTCAGAGCTTGCACCACTGCAGAATAAGAGAAATATCAACATAGGCCAACATCAGCACTCTACATGCTAAGCAAAAAGTAATATTGTCGTACTGTTTGCACTGAGAAGTTCCATTTACACTCTGGTTTCTCTCTAAAATATAAGCCCACTCAGTGGCCGGCCCGGTGGCGCGGTGGTTAAGTTCACACGTTCCACTTCGGCAGCCCGGGGTTTGCCAGTTTGGATCCCAGGTACGGACATGGCACTGCTTGGTAAGCCACGCTGTGGCAGGCATCCTACATACAAAGTGGAGGGAGATGGGCATGGAGGTTAGCTCAGGGCCAGTCTTCCTCAGCAAAAAGAGGAGGATTGGCAGCAGATGTTAGCTCAGGGCTAATCTTCCAAAAAAAAAAAAAAAAAAAAATGCCCACTCACGTACAGGGCATGTTCTCCATCTTCTAAGGTTTATTCTCAGAACTCAGGGCCTGATATCCATGTTTTATATCTCTCTTACTCCCTGAATATATTTCCTGGTCCTGATTTATATATACATACATATATGTTTCTCTAATTTTTTAATACCATACTTCATAAGCTGACTCAAATATTTTATAGAAAGGGGTAGAACATAAACAAAAGAATTGCTTTTTATTATCTCTGTTTCTTTAATAATTATTATTGATAACGGATGAAATTAGAACTCTGTCCTAATTCAGTAGAAATTTCCCCCAGCGATACAACTTTTACACATACAGAGATTACTCTGTGTTGTGTGTAAAACAACTCTTCCAGTATGATATCAAATAGACAATACCCTGGGCAGTAAAAGCCTCAACATCCTGAAGACAAGCGTAGGGACATCACTAGGAATGGTGAAGATTTCCTTAAATGAGCCTGACACAATTCCAACACTCCTTCCTGCAGAATCCTGGCTACACTTGCTTACAAAGATGACTCTAGGAAGAGGCTATCATCTGGAAGACAGCACCCACCAGCCCTTTGGCCAAGCCGTGACCTTGTAGCAGAAGTTACACAAAACCAAATGTCTGTAGGATAGGACACGTAGCATAAATGTGTCAAGACACCAGGACAATAGTTAGTAGGCAGTTAGCACTGGAATAATCCAGTCCTTTTAAAGAAGCAGACACTTTTTAGCTCCAGCAAGTGGTTATTCGTGAATGTGTTGTCAGACATCCATTTTTCAAGAGTAGCTAAAAATTCAGATTTTTATGCAAAATTTCAACATTTTAAAATGCTGGGAATTAATGTTAAAATCAAAATCAAATGTTAAAATCACTGTACAGGCTAAATAAAACTATCTGCAGGCCAGATCTAGACTGTGGGCCCCAGTCTGTGATCTCTGGCCAGAAAGGTTTAGTTTACACACAGCTCACAATAGAATGGTCTGTTTCATAAGTTCGTATGAGAGAAAATACAAAAATCGTTTTTCTTTAGTTTCTTTTTTAAGTATATATTCCTGTGGAAGCTCTCGTGAGGACCATGAAACCTACTTTTGACTGAATTATTTTTCTTCTAAATTCTCATCTTCTGAATTAATAATCTGCTTTGTGTAATTGCTTATCTCCAAAGGCAACAACCAAACAAAGTCTGCTGGTATAAATATACTAATTTATACCATATAGTGACTTTTTAACAGCCTTCAAGATATTTAAAAGAACATAACATTAATGGTATCAACAGTTGGGACTCAAAGCACTAATTTTCCTTTTGGAGGTTTCCCACGGTGTGTTTTGTGAAGTGCAGGTCCCTAGGGTTTGGGAAAAGTCATAGACATCTCTTCCTTCTTGGAGTTTCATGGCACCCACTGGTGTATATCAAATAAAGGCTCTAAGAAGTTCTACAGGAAAGAAATCTGTTCAAATGTTGTTTAATCCAGCATTTCCAAAATTATTTCCACAGAAAATATTTTTTGCGTAACACCTATTAATAGCCACACTTTGGATAATACTCCTCTTATTATATCTTACTCTTAGTATGTATCAAAATACGGCATAATAAGTTGAACAAAATGTTGTTAGAAACTTCACTCCAATCCAGGTCTTTTCCTCACTTATTTCCTGCTATTGCTCTAAAAAGCTTGCTTCTATAGAAATTAACTTAAATGGTTAAGAATATAGTAAATTTAAATAATAGATAGCTCTTCAAAGAACTGAAAGTTTTCTGACTAAACTGCACAAAAGAGATGCTACCAAACTACTTTGACTATTTTGCTATCAATAAAGAATAAAATATCTAATTATAGTCCTATATAAAAACTAAAGTTTCATCCTAGTTAAATCTAAAACTAAAAGTCATTAATAGGGATAAGATTAGGCCAAGTGCTAGGAAAAAATTTAAGAAATGCAACATGTGTCATTTATTTTGACAGGAAGCTATAAGAAAACATAATTCCCTAAAAAGAAAATTTCAATGAAAATTTGTGAAAGTCTCTAAGTTGAAATTAAATATCAAATGCATTTTTATTGTATCGTTAATAACAGGATAAGAGAAAACATATAGTTTTTTTTTTTAAAGATTTTATTTTTCCTTTTTCTCCCAAAGCCCCCCGGTACATAGTTGTGTATTTCTTTTAGATGTGGGTCCTTCTAGTTGTGGCATGTGGGATGCGACCTCGGCATGGCTTGATGAGTGGTACCATGTCCGCGCCCAGGATTCGAACTGGTGAAACCCTGGGCCGCCGAAGCAGAGCGCGCGGACTTAACCACTCAGCCACGGGGCCGGCCCCCTAGAAAACATACAGTTTTAATAAGAACAATTTCTAACACAATCCTTAGGGCTTCAAGTTGCCAAACATGACCAAGTCTCCCTATAGCTCTGTACTTCTCTGTTTAGATCACTACAGTCATGCGCTACATAATGATGTTTTGGTCAGCAACAGACCACATATACGACGGTGGTCCCATAAGATCAGTACCATACAGCCTAGGTGTGCAGCAGGCTA